AGTTTTACCATGACAGAGGTTTGGGATCTGATATGACTTTTGAGAATGTTCCTGTGTATTTCTGAAACCACATATTGAAGAGTTAAGCCGTAATGTTAAAAACCATACCCCATTTTCCAAAGCCTGCCATAGGCTGTTTGAAATGGGCATACACATGTATGTATCTGTTGTCAACATGTCCCCATGTACATGTATTTGCAACCGGAAATAGACTTTCGACCAAACTTTTTAATGACAATAGGATGTAGGAAATAAGTTCCCAGGAAATGGGATTTAAAACATTTCACTGATAGAAGTCACCACTCACATTGAAAAGAGCACACTGAACTCCTCCTCTTGACAGATCACTGCATTTGACATCCTGACAACCATTGGTGAGAATGGTACATTACATGTACGTGACTGAAGAGCTTTCAAAGTGACAGGCTCCATTGTGCCAGATTTGTTTGGAAGCCTGCAGCTGATCTGGAGAGTTATTCTGGCAACTGGCAATTCACTCCATCAGGGTGAGGCACGTAGTCCTGGTTGCTGTCAACTCCGTGAAGCAAAACTCGGTGTTGTTACATTCAAAAGAAATGACAAGAACGAGCTATAAATTGCAAGGTACTTCTGTGAACACCAAAGAAGTAAAACACGAAAAGAAAAAGCTCGACTTGAGGCCCATCATTTTGATTGGAGAAACTCGGGTCACAGTTGAGGGATGTTAAGACCTGAAGTGTCTGATGATCTCGGGCTCTGTTTCTCTTCTTGGCACCATACAAGTGTGTTCAATTTCTCCTGTGCTCCCAAGCTTTCAGAGAAACGTATCCGAGCCCAGTTTCATCTCTGACAGTTTTTGGTAGGCCTCCTCTGGATTTTCCTCTCAACATTGTCCCTCTAGATGAGAAGATGGTATGGGGGTTTTCCAACTGCGCTACTTCTAAGAAGCACCTGCATCACCTTTGTGAAGTGGCCCATCCGTGTTGACAAGATGATTGGATCATGTCAAACTTACAGAGTCTCAGTAAATAAGACGGTGACAATGACTTTGTGTCCGAAAACGACCCTACCAGGATTAGACATCTCCCGCCACAACTATCACTGGCATTTACATAACAGGTTTTGCCCTTACCCAACGTATACATTGATGAACACTGTATGCTCAGTGCTTGTCCGAGAGCTTGCGAAAAAATTCACACGCTTACTCGGGTGGGACTCGAACCCACGACTTCCTGCTTCCTAGTGCAGACGTCTTAACTACTCGACCACCGAGCTTGCCGGGGTCGGCTGGCCAGTGCTTCACCTGACTCGGACTGGCCAGCCGACCCTGGCAAGCTCGGTGGTCGAGTAGTTAAGACGTCTGCACTAGTAAGCAGGAGGTCGTGGGTTCGAGTCCCACCCGAGTAAGCGTGTGAATTTTTTTGCAAGCTCTCGGACAAGCACTGAGCATACAGTGTTTATCAATATATATGTTGGGTAAGGGCAAAACCCGTTACATAAATTAACATCTCCCCAACGCAAAAATACATCTTGAAATATCACTGGCATGTCCGATCACAACATAAATTCCATCTACTCAACCAGACTCTGCATAAAATATAGCAAACTTTATTTCATCACCAGTGCAGTACACATCCACATCATGGCGAGTATTACCTGGTGCCTAGACAATACATTTGACATGTCATACAAAATATTAAAATTCTCAAGCCTCTGCAATGAAGTTACATTCAGGAATGCTTATCAAACCACTCTTAATTTTACTCGATAACTCTTGATGTTATTTCCTGTTCACAAATACAAAACTGAAAACTTATACTCCAGTCTTCAAAAGACTTTAATTCAAATCTCCCGTCAGTCAAATCATTTGTGTGCCTTCTAACTTGTCCCGACTTCAACCTTCTAGTTTTCTTTCTTTCATATTTGGGCTCATATGGCAGGCTGGGATATTCCCACTTACAACTATTTTCCCCTATTCCATCAAAAACAATTTTCTGTCAGTTTGTTACATTTTAGCCAAACCTCCTTACAAAGTGTGAAAGTGTCTGGCTAGAGATTTGCTTTGTTCAAATCACTCTTTTAAAGTTACATTTCTGTTTTAAAAAATGTAAAGACGGGCACTCACCATATTTGATACATGTAAAACACCTGTTTGTGTAAGTATTTCACCACTTCATTATACAACTTGATACAATAGATCAGTAATCCTGAAAGATATTTATTGCAGCAACGTATATGTACATTGTACCTCTGTTGCTGTTCAGAAATCAAAAAGTTATAAGAAATATTTCATGTTTACAAAAATACATATTTGTCAACAACACAGTATTACATATTTCATACTCTATAATATAAATATGTGGTATAACTCCAATGAAACACAATGTGTTTTTGGACTCCTGGCATATTTTCTTTTTTTCCAGAGTTCTATTAGAATGCATTCATATTGGTACCCATTCTTTTAGAGATGCAGTAATTATTGGAGGGATTACTACACAACAAAAATCAGAAGACCGTAATCAGTGAACCAGTTTGGTTTTCCAACAATTCATGTACCAAATTAATGTTGCTGTAATTCATATTTGATAATCAGTAGATAAGTGAGATTGAAGCATAAGGGCAGTATGCCAACTTCCACATGTAACGAGGATAATCAAGCTTGTGAACTGTATTGTGACCCTCTCTTTGAAAATGAGTCATAAGTCGCCAGATCTGCTTTTGAGTTTTCATTTGTATTTGAAAGAGCAAATTGAGTTTTTTGTTTTGATGTATCACTCAGTTTGGCATCCTGATGAAAGTGGATACTCCATGGTGAGAAATGCTGTGGGTTCCTATTGATTTACACTGCAAAACTATTCTAAAGGACTTTTTACTCCAAAGTGGCTCTGGCAACTTGTGACTCATTTCATAGAGTGGGTCACAATTGTGATTTTTTGTAATCCCAACTGGCTTAGCCTTGTTGAAATACCAACAGCTTACAGCTGTGGTCAAAATTGTACTTCCGCCAGGACTGACAGCATTTAAAAACAAATTTCTTGCCTTATTTTGGGTAACTTGTGGGTAACGTTTTGGGAACTGATCAATCTGCTCATTTTATTCAGTTATTAAAAGGTACTGATTAAAGTAGAAGTTCTTACCAAGTTGCAGAAAAAGAACATTTAAAAGAAGTGTAATGGGAAAGTCACCGAAGTGGAAATTTATTACATTTTCTGTCCAAGACAACCGGTGTACTAAAACATGAAAACAAAGCATTGTCTCCATTAGGAACCAAATTCCGGTGTCACGGTGGATGTGTGAAGTTTGAAGTATTGTATTGGTACTAAACTGGTACCTACATGTAGGTACATGTGTGGGTTATACACTGTCCTCACTTTGAGACATGTGTTCATTGAGAAGTTCCGAGCACATTATTACTGAGTATGCAATATGCATTCAATTCAACCTTTATGCCACTCGGGGTATCTATGAACCATCTACTTGTGGTTCAAGAACTTGTGCGGCATGTACAGATTATGAATGCTGCTTTAAAAAAGTGTAAATGTTGCAAGTTTCACATGTAAAATCCGTTCACTAGTTACCACAAGCATTTCACTACAACCCAAAATTTTAAAATTGTGACCCAGAATGGAAATTAACATTTGCCGTCCAGTTCTACTTTGAAAGCAGAACCGAAGTCTGTCACACAACTTAATCTGCACTTAACACCAGAAGCACCATGCTTTTGCTTAAATGTAAAATGTTTTGACAGTTCGTGAGGATTTTATTCAACATTATCCAAATGGCATGTACCAGTAACTTCCCATCCATGGCACAGGACCAGGTGTCTTTGACTTCAAACATGCCCTGATTTCGGGGTGATGATCTGCCTTGGCCTTGTTTTTTTTTTCATGTGCCCCAGGTCGTGACCTTTGGCAAAATGAGGCCAATCCAAGGTTTCCGCCATTTCCGTATTTCATTCCTGCAAACAGAGCTTCAAGGCTACTAAAACTATCAAACTTTGGCACCCCGGCAGTAAGATCGAGATCATAGTGATTTCCAAGTAGTTTGTTCCACCGTGACTACAAACTGCCCACAACAAAATTGCTGATATTGTTTGTTTACGAATACTTGGATCGAGCACTTTGTCATGTGACTTTCCAAGTGGGTGGACCTCTACAATTCCCTCGCACCTTTCAATGAAGAAGTCCCTTTCAAGATTACAAACTCTCATGATATTCTGAACATGAAACAACACACTTTTGAAATTTTCCAAGATTAAAAAAAATTGCGGCCTCAGGTTACTCCCATGGTTCTTGATCTTTGAACTGTTACTTGGTCTTGATCTTTCAATTTCTGGAAGGCATGTGGGTTACATCTTTGAAAGATATATCTTTTGATTAATGAAAGCAAAATGTTTCCGAAAGTTTTGGGGTTGTTTGGAAGGAGGCAGATGGCGCATCACTGTGCTGAGGTTTGTATCCAAAAGTGTTTGCCTGTGTGAGGGGGGGAACGTTTAATGGCCTTCGAGCATTCACAGATTTGTAATTCTGCCCAAGTTCCATGGGTATGACCATGGCCCTGGATAAGAGGAAAAACCCGTAGGTGTAATTAAAATCATTCAGTCTGCATTTTGTTGTCACTTTCAGGCATCTCCTACTGCAATCAAGGTCATTACCATTCCACACAAAGTCAATCGCTTATCAGTCATGAGTCATCCAACTTCCAACCAAAGAACAGACTTTACAAAGTAGTCTGCCACGAAGCCAAATCCTTTTCATCTTTCAGCCCCCTGTTCAGCCCCATGTTAAACCTGACTGGATTACTACTTAGTCTAGTCAGGACATCAAAGTGCTTGTTGCCAGAACTACCGCCCTGGCCCAGTAAAGAGGTAATGTCTACACAGCATTTACGACAAAGCCCTGCATAGTTTATCTCCGCACACCGGGAATGCTTTAAGGCCGTACAGATCATAAAGCTTTCCTGTTACAATTCTGGCATGGTAAATTACTTGGAGAAATGTACGCTCATTGTCACAAAGATGCTTGTATTTGGGTATCAGTCTTTAATACAGGATGAGACTTCTACTTGCTTGCCTTGTCTATAGCAAATATATGTACTACCAACTTGTTCACCCAACCGTAACAACACATCATGATAGCAGCATGCATGAATTCATCAAATGTCTGCCAGATATGATGCTCAGGGTTCATTAATTTTTCGTAATAATGGTTAGGTTGTGCTTAACTACCCCTCTGAAAGAAGGGACTTAAGTACATGTAATCCCAAATTCCAAGAACAGCATAACTAATGCAGGATATTGTATGAACTAGCAATGCACTTTCCAATAACAAAATTACTCATTATTATGCCCGTGGTATATGGGCTACGACCGAACAAGAGAGAGTGTCGTCTTTCATGTAGCAACGTGTCTGTTGGCTATTAAACATACTGAGGCACATATGATGCCATGCAGAACATAGTTACATATACCACACATGATTGCAAGCCAGTCTGACATCTTGTGGCAGAGTTGGAACAAGTCACTTAATTTTGTAACTCGGTTCACTTCAAGGCAGTTGACTAATGTAGAGTCGCCGGTCAAACCAACTCTTCGAGAACTGCAACTCGAGTTGGACTCAAGTCGACTCAATGACTCGAGTTTTGGAGAATATTTGAGATTGTGGAAAATGTTGTAGTGCACCAAATTCAGGGACTTTGTTTATGAATCATTAATAAACTACGTGATGCTTACAGATATTAAGTAAAAGAAGGGTTCATTTTTTTAAAGTTCGTCCAGAGAGTATACTTGAACAATTGCATTAATAAAATTATTAATTTAAGTACTGATTATATCCAAATATACAGATTTGTGTTAAACTGCACACTGTGTAAGGTAGATGTTAGTACTTGAATTCTTAAGTTCTTCAAATATAAGAGTAAAAACATAATTGGATTTAATCAAACCAATAAATCATTACTGCTAAAGCTATATACATCAAGCCTGGGATTTCACCCTCAAAGCATAGCTGCTTTTCCTTTCCTCAAAGTAAACTTGCACTAGAGATATAGAGAATGGCTGATAAATGGTATCAAGGAGTCTCCAAGACTCAAATGCCAAAAATACTGACCCTCTCTTGGTCTCTCAGAAATGCCAGGCTCGATAAAAATTGTAAACAGTTATTACAAATTACCAAAATAGTACAGTTCCTCATTCAAACATTTCTATCTGCAGCATTAAAAAACCTATGAGATTATATTCTGTATAAATATAAAAAACAACCTTTTTTAAGAATCGCATTCTTAGAATTCAAATGTTTAGAAAACAATCACATGAATGAATCCGTTAGCACATTACATGATAACGGCTGCACACAAATGTGTCCATTACCAAGCATTGCAGTTACCAAACTGCATAATATTATCCTCTTCAAAATCACGACACCAATCTCAAATATGTTTCAAAACCATCCTTTATGATAACCATTATGACCGAATGGTGAAGCTATGACTATATTTCATTACATGCACGTATGGTTTGTATTGTAATACAGATATGCAAAATTTCATACAACAGATTTTCCAAAACAAACAATTCAAAAATATAATACGCTTCATTTCCATTTCTTTTTTTTTTTTTTTTTCGTTTCATTTATTTCTCCTTGCGTTTCTCCTCTTGAATATCCAGCCAGCTGGTTAGGTAAAAATGTTAACAAGCATTTAAGAAAAATATATGTATAAATTCATTCGAAAAATTGGTCCGCCTCGTATGTATATCACAGCAACAAACACTGGAGGAAAAAATCCAAGCAAGGGCAGTAACTGGTCATCACAGCAAAAGTGGAAATACTTTACAACAAACGTCAAATCTGCTACTCAAAAATCTGTCTCAAAGTGCCTGAGTTAAAAAGGTGAATTTTCTGTGAAAAAAGTAGCATTTGTAAAATGCTCCACAGTAATCCTGTTTTTATAGGATACACCGTACAATCTCTTCCAATGAGAATAGCAATATGAATGCGCACATAGATCGCAACAGCACCTGTCTACCTGTTTTTACAGGCATGTTTTGAAATATGTCAACATGTCATCACAAGGAATATTCAGCACTGATATCATGTCATGTCTGAGGTTTTTAATTTCTCTGAATGTCATATTTACTATGCAGTGTCACGCAATATAAATGTTCAAAACCACAACCCAATGAGAGCTTTGCCACATTTTGCCTGCTTTTTTTTTCAACAGTGTAGTCCATAATTTCTTTCAAATGTTAACTTTAATCCTACTTACAAATGTATTTCAAATTATATCACATCACCTCCTCTCTCTGTTATCAACTTTTTAAAAACCCATATCAAACTAGCCTGATTAGAATTCTGCCTTGTGTTACTGGACTCTCTTCAGTTCACAAGTCCGTTCAGCTTCATGACAGCCAGCATCCCAATTCCTCCCACAAACATGGCGGGAACGGCCACAAAGGAGAAAAGACAGAGGGTTCCCATGCCTGACATGCCGTGACCACTGGAAGAAGAAGCAAACAGAAAACATAGAGAGAACAAGTCAGTTAGAATTTGTCCGTTTCAAGAATCACTCTACTTTTCATTTTCGGGAAGTGACTGCTGATGGCTATAGATAGCTGGTATCCATGCCAGCATACCAGTCAAGAAGATACAGACCAGCCCGTCACCAGCTTCAGTCAGTAGAGAGGGCAACAGTACCAGCTACGAGGGCAAGAACAATAGATAATTTTGATGCTTACAGTTTTTGCTGGTGGGGGGGGTAGCTGCTTGCTGGGGAGACCCTTCAAGCATCTCCTCCCCCCCCCAGCAATAGACCTGATACGGACGGAATGGATATTTGGTTGAGGCAACTGTCTGTCTCCTGGCTATCTTCAGACCAAAAATGGTTTCTTATTTTGGGACTAATTGAAAACCTCGGCGAATTTCAAAACTACCTCGCTGAAGTTTTTCTTTGGTCGGTTGCTTTGGTCAATTTAATCAGTTGCCGGAAATTTTCAAAAAGACCTTTTTTTCACACACATGGAGCATACTGCAACAACTGGCAACAGCAAAAACATGCTTCAGATAACTACACTTCTGCAGCTATCTGACCACACTGAAGACAATTATTCAACTCCAAGAAAACCTGTGAATGCACCCTACCCGTCCTGCCTGTGTAAAAAGGCAGTATTCCTAAAGTCTCTCAGGAATGCCAAACTTGACTTAAAAATTGAACAAGAAAGGTCTATTCATGCACACTCTGGCAATGGTATGCCTGTCAGTCACCCAAAAATCTTGATATTCCTACAGAACATGCAAAGTTTACAAACTAAATGGCCTAGCAAATTGGTCTCTCTGGCACAAAAGGATGGATTCAGGAAAGGATAACTCCAAGTTCTGAGTGGGTAACTGACGCATCTCACCTGGTGCATCCGCCGGCCAGGCGGGAGCCGTACACCATGATGATGCCTCCCAGGAAAGCGTGCATTGCGGCCACTCCCTCTGTGCTGCCCAGAGTCCCCGACATGCTGGCCGAAAAGACGGCACCGGCTATGGCCGCGCATCCGTACACAATCTGCAGATGATGACAAGAACTCACCGGATAAAGGCCAGTGTTGTGTGAAATTGGATGCAATGAAAAATAGATTCACACGGCACAGCACAGGGCAACAAACAACTGGCATTTGCAGGGAGCCCAAACATCAAGACACCGGTGTACATGGTTGTCAAGGGGGTAAGGGGGCACTTACCCTACCCTAGAGAGGAATGAAAAATGAAATAGGAGGGAAAAAGAAAGAGAAAAGGCAAGAAAAATGACAACAAGGGTGAAACAGGGATGGAAATCTCCAATTTGTTTGAAAATACCTCAGAAGTGAGCCCTTTCCACTATTAATGGGTTAATGGCTTGTAAGTTTGCTGCTTATAAGTGCTGGGCCTTCTGCTGGAGAATTCTCCCCCCCCAAAAAAAAAAATCCCAACAATGGCCATGCCACTGTTTACTCAATATAAAGTCAATGCAAGATCAAATATTGTGACACCAAGAGTAATATTTGTTGCAGCAAATTTGCAAAGATTTAATGCATTTAACACGAGCAAACTCTGGCAGCTCTGGGACTTCAAATATGTTTTGAATCCATTGGAAGTATGAATAGGCACTTTTCTCATATCTTTGTGTTTACAGGATCTGACAGTAGATAGTGGATGATACTTTCATGCTGATCCGAGCGGAGCACTCTCAAATGTGGCAACCTCTTTTTCGTTTTTTCCCCCGATGCCTTTTCCAAGTTACCGTACTCAATACAGTACAGTTTGGAAGATCCCATTCAAAAAATCATACGTTCACTGACACAAAGAAGTTTGGAAATAATACAATGGAACACACGGGGAGAAGTCGGTTTACGTCAAATTCGGAAACGCTTTTTCATTGCACTTTCTCATGAACGCGGCCAACATCTAGGCGAGGTTCACTGAACCCCTGTCAATCCAGAGTATAAGCCACACCATTCTCTTCTGTGTTGTGAAGTAGGAACTGAATTGGAAGCTCACTGAGGGGTGAAACCTATTTTTTATGCAACTATGGCTCCAAGAAGAACTTTTTTTAGAAGCTATGGCCCACAATACTTGCTCTTCAATTGTGTTTGCAGGAAGGATTTGGCTGGGGAGAAATTCCAGGACCATTCATCATTCATCTTAGTCTAGTTTGGAAAAGATTTGTTCAGAATACAGTTTGACGTCAGACAAAAACTTATACTGTTATTTTTGAACTTCAAGGAAAGGGGAAGCAAGTCAGTTTGTTTTTAAATAACAGAACAGATTCTGGTGTAAATCACGGGAAACCTGTTATGGAATAGTAGGAAAACATTGCTGTTGACACTACAAGGAATGTTGTTTTACTGTATTTGTTCTTGTTTCAAACAAATCCCAGCCTGATAGGAATGTTAAGAGCTGGTAAAGAGCGTAATGGTTTGTGAGATACGTTGATACAGTGAGTTCTATCTCAGAACTTTACTGTGTTCTTTCCTCGGGTCATGTTGGACCAATATTATACATCCTGGATAATCTATAGTGAAACAACAAGCCTCTCTACAAGTCAGGGTTTCAGCTGAAACAGGTCAGTGTGAGTTGCTCTCCTGATATGATGATGAGCTAGGAGAGGAGGGCATCTCTGTGAAAGGAGGCAACAGTTTGTCAGAGCCAGAATGAGGAATCAAGCTCTCATTTTACATCACAGGTAGCACTTTCATGACTAGTTTCCTTGTGTGCTGTTCATTTCTTCTTTATTACATTTCCACACATTTGTCAGGTATTGTGTGCCGTTAGCTTCAGTTTTTGCCAATGGAACTACCACCAGACCAGTTAAGTTCAAAAAGGTTCAGATGAGTCAACTTTTTTGCCTCCAGTGGGGCTGATGCACCATGGGTAAACACTAGCTTGTTTGTGAGCCAGCTCGGCGAGCTGAACTTGCGTAACCTTGTCATGTTTTTGCTTTGATGTTGGGTTAGCCCAGTATCAGCCCGAGCCCATCCCTTTGTCATCTGTGATGGGCTATATGCCCAGAGCCCTGGAAGCTAGCTGGGTTTATATGGAAGGTTTCTCTGGGTAAGTTTCAATATCCCACCATTACATTCTTCCTCAAGCTGGAGAGGTTAGATATCCTTACCGACCACCAGTTGTTCAGGCCAAACTTGGTCCTCAGGAGGTAAGGGGAGATGTTGCGCAGGGTCGCTGACGGAATCAGCTGAGCGGCCATTGTGCAGTAGCTCCCACTGCCCCCCATGGTCTGTCCCATGGCCAGAACTATCGGGATCTGGAGGCAGCCAATCAGAGCCCCTGCCATAGAGATGCAGAATATTTGCATATTTATTCCCGATCTGGTATTGATCAGTAATCGGTAAATCAATTTGTTCTCTGTAAAGTTGCCCTTTGTTGAACACAGCCCAGAAGGCCACGATTCAGAAATCTGACAGACTGCCAGATTTTTTCCCCCAGTAATTGTGAACAAGAGCACAACTCTATTAGCAATTCATTGTTGGGGAAGTAATATTATGATCACATGTACAAAGTGCAATTTTGTTTTCCAAAATCTCTAAACAAGACGAGTAAAAGTGAAAGAAAACAAAGGAGTTAATGTAACCATGACAAAAATGTTAAATATAATCTGGTTAAGCTTAGACAAGAACTTTTTTCCTTTTGAATCATGGTTGATCACGCTAGAATGACAGATTTTGTAATGCGTGAAATTGAATTCGAGCTGAATCCAATTTAAGAGTTGAAAACAAGGTTTGTAAAATTCCCAAAGTGATCATTCTTTGAGCAGACTCGTGTTTTTTTTTTCCAACATCAGTTTTTGTATCCACCAGAGACTGAAGGCAGCCAGCTCCTCAGCTCCATCAGCGAGGCTTCACTCTCATTCAGTATGGTCAGGTCGGATGTCCAAGGCACCACCACCTCCAGGAGGTATACAGATGCAGCCATAGCAACGCCCAATGGGAGAGCCACTTTCCAGAAGGGTATGCCCACAATCTCGTCAATTCTACAAAAAGCGAAAGACATCTCTGCTGTAGGTTCCTCAGAAGTTTTGCAGGGAAGCCATCCAGAGAGGTTTCTGGTTACATACTTCTCTGAGCAAGGCTTAACATTTGCAGTGAACTCAAAAAGTGTGAAAAGACATTACTCAAGGATTTAATAGGTCTCAGCCCAACACAATGAAGGATTTTGGTGTATCAATATTAAGCAATATCAGAGGCAGGAAGCTGTAACATCAAGTTTTTTGTATTTGCAACTGTGTATAATATCTCATTGAGCTTTGGTTTTAGTTACAGGGTATATTTGCAACATTGGGTAAAAGTTAAGATGTCACTTCTAAAATGCTAAGATTTTTGTCTTTGGAATATGGAATATGCCAAAGGAATGATAACATCTCATCTCACCTCAACTGAAAAGATCAGAAATCACTTTGTTTCAAGCTCAATGAAGCTGGAATATTTCAACAATATTCTAGAAAGATTTGAAAGGCACATTTGGAGCCCAGTCTTGTGAACAAGACGTTGATCAAGCAGGATCAATTGACTTGCTTTTTAAAAGGAGAGTTGAGGGTCACCATACTTTTTCCAATATTAAAGTAATTTAAGTAAACATTTGTTCCATTCACCAAATGCAAAGGTTCACCAAATGTAGCCAATGACCATCCACTGCAGTTTTTCTGGCTACTAAAATATTACATGTGAACCTCCTTGACATTTTCCGTCATCATCCTGGCTGTGTAATCTTGTGAAACTAATGACTTGCATTTCTTCAACACTCCCCCCCCCTTCACTTCGCCGATGTAGAGTGTGTTATTAATGGTGTGAGTTGAAACATATGGAGTGGGACTACTTTGCCAGTGATGCACTTGGGAGTGTGAAAAAAAATGCTTATTTATGAACTGAGCGATGATTCTTTCCACCTCTCTCTGTCAAGTGTACTGGCTGTTGCAAATGACCTGTTTTCAGCACTGTTTTCATTGGATGATTGTTGGGCATGTGTAACTAAGGCCTGGGTTCATCGTGGTCAAGGTAAGCAGGGGGTAAAGATGAACAGTTTTGTAATGAGAGGATTCTAGGTCATTCTGCATAGCTTTAGATGTACTGTAGGGAAACTACTGTACATGATTAATTCACAATGATGTCTTAGAGTGAAAGAAAGTCTCATGAGAAAACATTTTTTTTTGTCAGAGGCCATCTGACGACAAATCTTTGTGCACATCCAGATGCAAATTTGTTAGGGGCATTTTACACCACAATGTGCAAACCAGTACATCACTGTAGTTTGTCTTTAACACTGGAGATCTTGTCACTGCTATGTATTATGTTCCTGCACATATCAAGTGCCATTTACTATGTAATTTAGAAGAGCCTCAAGAACTTGATTTGGCAATGCATATTAATGGACCATATACCAAAGGTCACAGCACTTGTAATTGGAACTCATCATCCTTGAACTAAAGTAAAATTCCTTGAAGTTTTGTGATTGTGAATACAGAAAGCAACTTCATAAACTACAATTGATTTACATTACCGGATTTTCTGCGCTGCGTTCTTAGGCCGTGTCCAATGAGCAACTGTTTGTTCAGTCAATCCATACAGTATGGCTCCCAGGATGCAACCCAAGAACGTGTAGCCTGGAAAAAGAGGCAGTGAGTATTAATGAGTCGGTTGTAAAAATTCACGTGAGTTTAATCGATGGAGCGAATTTGCTTCTATTTGTTTTGTCAGTTGTTTTTTCAGGTCGTCAGTGATAAACAGGTCAACTGACTTGTCAGACAGCCAATTACTTTTCTTGTGTTTTTATTTTTACTGCTCATTTCAATCCTTGTGTCAGGATTCATCACCGACAAAAAATTCATTTTGTGGTTTATCTGGCTCAGGGAATTGCATCGTGCAAACTGATCAACCACTTTCACTTTGTCTTCTTTTGTCTTTCATATTGTGGTGTCATTTCATTTTTTCATACAATTTTATGACTCTGTGTTCATTCTACACAAGGGCCATCGGCAAGTTTTGGCCAGTTGGAATGATCTCGGTAGAGCTTGACATGAATCACTGACTTGTCCATAGTGGCTTTATGAGTTGTTTATGATTTATGATCTTGTCAGCTCCTTTTTTTCAGTCTTTGAAATGAATTTAGTTTATTGGCTGAATATTGCATGTACAGTCGGGACAAAAAGTTTACATACACCTGGTAGAACATAAACAGTTTTCCTCAAATTTCACAACTTCACTCATTCCTACCAACTTTCCTTTTCATGAAGACAGACAAGATGGGTCTCTGCTTAATGTACATGGTGTATGCATCAAATAGAAACACCCAGAGACATGTAAATGATTCACATTTATATTTACACAAAAAATCTGAATGGCACTTATTCCAACCCTAATATTTCGTGCCACTTGCTGTATTTTTGTCACATCTCATAGTCGCAATGGACCACTCTCTGAAGTATTTTTGAACAACAATAAGGGGACAGATGTAAATTTTCACAAACGTGATTTTTCAGAAATATTAATATTTTGAACCATAATAAATGTCTCTGAGTATTTTCATTTGAAATACATACTGTGAACATTAAGTTGAGATAAAATTTGTCTGACCTCGTAAAGACACAGTGGGCAAAACTGTTTCAAACAGTGAAAAAATTAAGCAAAACTGTCCACCAATATATGTCAACTTTTTGCCCCACCTGTATGTACGTAACTAGACAGTTGCAGTCATCAAGCTACTTTTCACATGCATAATCTGTTCTTTCTTCGCACTTCAGTTGTTTGGCATGCATTCTGTAAGCAGTGGGCCCACATAATATTTGTCCAATCTCCCCACAGGCTAACAATCATCTGGACAAGTTTCATATCCCCATTATTGGTTGGATGGCCTTCGCCCTTGTGGTCTGCATACCCAAAAGAGGAGTGGGCAGAAGGAGTAAAAAAAGAAAAGCTCACTGAACTTGACAAAGGGTGTCCCCCCCACAGATGCAGAATGATAAATGACTATTTAGTTGTGGAGGGGGGGCTTTCAGGAGACTATGAGGTGTCTTGTTATGGTAGGGATTGTAATAAGGTATCAGTGATGCCGAGGTAGACATATCTGGGTTTATCTCAAGGGCAGAGTCTGAACTTTCTACTTTAAATTATCTGGAAGCTTGACTCTACTGTTTCTTTAGTTCTCTCTTGGTGTCTGGACTATATATGTGCCTGTTAAGAAGGACTAGTTGTGTTTTCAAATTGTAGAGTTTAAAGATGAACATAGTATTGGGATTTAGTGCATATTGGTATAATGGCATTTTGATCGTCACTTTTGTCTTCTGGGGGCAAGGATGAGATGGGTGCCCTGTTCTTGACATTAGTTTCAATTTACACATGTTAACACATTTGAGCAAAGATTGTCAAGATTTTTTTTCTCAGACCATGAATACTTCAGTTGACAGCAGATCCAAAACTGTCCTTTTCCCTGTTTTCCCACATGCTTCATTAATCCCACACACTGGCAAGACCTTGACGACAAATTTTATGATCTCATTTCATCCTCGTCAAAGGAGAATGCCTAGAAGAACTGTGACACGGCAGAAGTGGGCCTGTTGTCTGCTCAGTTCAACGACAAACCCTCAACCTGATGTGCACTTAGTGGTCATGCTCTGGTTAGTTTCCTGAAGAGTTGGGGACGACTGCGGCATTGTCCAGATTGGGTAATAACTCCCAACCGCAGACTTAATGTGAATGGTTTGTTCTTTGTGAGTGCACACTTGAAACCCGCCAAGCTGAACAGTCATTGTTGCTTGTTGTTCGTCCCAAACCCCCAACAGACAAAAACCGGGGTGAAAAGCATTGTGAGAAAAGTGATTTTTTTGTCCTTGGCGACAGATTCTAGGAGCAAAACATTAGGCCTTTTAAGTTTGAAGTTTCACTTTGTCCATTGTCAGGGAGTCTGGTTCTTCCTTACTGCAAATATTACTAGTTTTTTGCAACCCTGAAGAGATCATGTTGTATACCTCCACAGATATAGATGCACTTTATACAGACAGTCAATATGCAGGGAGGGTGGGTGTATCACTGTATAGTGTGTGCTCATTAGAAACATTCATTGCTGCTGAAGTGTAGAGACAATACACCATGTGCTTTTTCTCATTCAAATCAAGTCACTAAATCAATTTTTGTTTGTTTAGATTTTGGGGGAGGGGGGAGGGAACATGTAGGCTGGTAATTAATGTGGACAACCTCTCTATCTCTTTCCTCTTTTTTCTCTCTCTTTCTTTTTTGAAGTTTGGGTTACATCAAGGAAAGGACTAACAATGTGAAATACCGAAGGCTGTTAACAGGTGTGGAAAGAGCTACTTTGAACCCCCAATCCACCCTTGCTGTATCCCAACACTATCATACTTGCAAGTTTGTTCACTGACATCTCATCACCCCAGAACAGCTGTTGATATTGGTTCCTGCAGTGCCCACAGTAAGCCAGGTATAGTTCAGGGCCAAGTGTATTATGGTTGCACTAAAGTGTGAATTTAGCCACCTTCCCCCAAAGGTACAGTTTTTGGTTTTTTTTTTCTTGCACAAAAACCTGATTATACCGTGGACCCTTATAGCTCTGCATCTCAATGAGTTTTCCTACTGCACTACCTGGTGTACCATAAATATTACCTTGCAAGTTTGATGTGGTATCTGAAATTTCTGAATTTTATAGCAAGATTTTAAGAATTCATTTTGATTTTTTTTCAGGCAGAATCCAATGCATAAGATTAAGCCAGTCATGAGAAAAGCATGACGTATAATTATCATGGTCAGTGGAGGATTACAGTGAACGGCAGATAATATTATTGTTTGGTTTGGAGCTGACGTATACTCAAATATGTTGGTTGACTGATTTGTTCATCTGTCAGTTCATATGCATTGCTGTTTTGTTGGTGTGTTTGGTTAGTTGATGAGTGGGGGGATTGGCACCCAATAGTTCATCAGGCAATCGGTTCATTAGTCAGCTCTGGGATCAGTTACACAGGGTGGTCATCTTGTTCTTTGCTCAGTCAGCCATGTAATCAGTCACGTGAGATGCTCAATCGGGCTGTTTGTCAGTTTCTCGGTTAACTAATTTTTTTGCCACTTGCAAGGGCCTACCTGCATTGGAGACTCCTGCGCCTATCTGGACAAGCACAGCTCCGGGACACTATGATGGAAAACAAAAATGATTACTAACAAACGTGATTAGGATTTTTAATTTGTAGTACATGTATATGAGCTATTAGCAAGAGAAACAGAATGTTCATATCAGCTGTGAAGAAAAAGTTACCCTTTTTTGATAAAAAGGTTAAGGATCTAACTTACTGCGCCTCCCAATGTCATCCCAATGCCGAGCAAGGTTCCCCCAACAATCGAAGCGGTCACGCCCTTGGCGCTGAGGCGGCAGATGAAGTTGTCCCGGGCCAGCGCGAACCGCTGGCTGGTGGCCGGCAAGACGGAGAGGGCCGACATTGAGACGAGGACCGCGGCCACAGAGGCCAGGAACATCTTGAGCATCACCATGGAGCTGAAGTCCATCTGGTTACGGATGTGGAGCGGTTCGAACACTGCCAATCAGAGAGGAAAGGAAGGAACCTCACAGTAACAGTCAAGGAAGATTTCCGAATCACAGGGGACAAAAATGTATGACGTTAGTTCATTTGAGACGATTTACTAAATCATGGACATGCACCGTGGCAGAACGACTTCATGGACTTCTGAAATTTTGTCTGAAACCTGAAATACCTCAGCCGTGCAAAAATGTGTGGGTTCTATTATTATTGTTGTTCTTGTTTTGTTTAATTTGTCGATTGTCGGTGTCGATCGACTGGGGACAGGTATGCATGCCCCCAACTTTATTCCAGCACTTTAACTTCATTGTACGACACCTATAAAGGCCACTGGCCTTTGCCGACCCACGTATTCAATTTCTTTGATGTGACCGATTTCTATTATTCCTATGGTTAGGGATCCCTTTAAAACGGCCAAAATGCTGACCTGGCCCCACCTTGGAATGGTTTTAGAAATGATGCTCAGACCAGGACTACAAAAAAAAGTTGATTCAAGTGACCCTTTTAAAAACGGTCATTTCAAAATAGGGCGGCCACTCTTTTCCTTTTTGTCAAAACCGATCTTGTAAAACCTCATGGTTTGATTACAAAAGATGCATCTCATTAGGAATTACAGGAGCTGTGCTGGTCCTGGGAAAGAATCAAATACATCTCCTCAACATTAATGTTGTTTTGTTTTTAAATCGTATCGTGTCAATAAGGTTTGTTGAGAAACGTGCTCAAAATTAGATTGCGTCTAAATTGGAAACAGCCCTTACAGCTCCTGCATTGATAAAAACTCCGGAGCATCCATGAACGCCGAAGTGCGCGATGTTATCAAGACCTAGTCCATGCCAAAACGAAGTAAAATGTCAAAATTTTTCACCATTCCGTAACCACAAAAACGTGACTTTATTGGAATGGTGTCGAACAAGACAATGGGTGACGTAACGTTCCCGCAAGCGCCGTGGTTTCTTTCCAACCCCGGTTAGTCTCCGGTTTCAAATGTTTATCGTTTGTGGCTAGTACTCGCACTACCCTCGTTGGAAACAATCAGAAACTTCCTGAAGACATTGTGGAATCCGTTCTGATTGCTAGTACTTGCCATTTTGGTTTCCAACATCTGGAAAAAGCGTTATGTTTAGCCATTAACCGCGTTCCACCACCCCTAGGGTTACGTCGTGACTTATAGACTGGCTCTAGCATGCTGTGCTCTGTCACACCCCCCCTCCACCATCCAGCATGCGGCAATGCTGGGTCGCCATCAGACCAACCTTGTCCTCTCGAGTTGTGGTATGTAAAAAGGTTGGTTAACATCGCTCGCAAAAGAATTTTGGCGGAGGTATAACCACGGATGAATATATCTTCGACATGGGCGTCGCCAGGATTTTTGACGGGGGGGCGGGTAAAGCACTCAACAGCAAACTGTCAAACCATTAACGGTTGTAGGGGACCTATTCCGAGGTATATTCAAGAAAATTTGTGATTTTCACCACTTCCTTTTGTTCGTTTCTTTGGCTTCATCCCTCAGCCCCTTGTTTTCAAGTTTTGTTCTCCTCCAACGCCTAATTTTGGGATGTAAATGCTTTTTGTGGTTCAATACACAAACTCTAGTTAAAGTCTCTAAGACTCCTCAGTTGTAGGCTAAAGCAGAATGGCGATTGCATATCCACACTCCGAGCTAGCGCCTTCTGATATCTCCGACCAATCCCCCATGACCGCGTCAAATTTTACCTTGGACTTAACATTGGACTGTTGGATTACCGGGTGTTGCCGGCTCCCTCGAGACCACCTGGCGACAAAGCCAACGGGGTCACTTCTCTTTGTATTGAAAACCCCCACGTGTGACAATAGCAGCTGGTGAATTGTTATAGCGGTACCGGTATCGTGTACCGGCAACGGCGCGCTAAGGGCCATATCCTCGCTTACACCTGGCCTTCTATTTATGGCAGATGCCTAATCCCTTGTGGAGATTAATAATGTGCTGCAGGTTGCAGACGGAAAGGAGAAAAGTGCCCACGGTGCTGTGGAGATTGAGCGTCTGATTTCTGTAAGCAAGCGCTGGACTGCTATCTTGCAGGGTTGCTTATTTAAACTTTTTTTGTTCGGTCACTTACGGCACATCGTACATTGTACATTGTACTCGTACTATCCTTCTGTTTGAATACCAGGTAATATTATTGGTCTTGACGTGGTTATCACTGGGGGAAACACTACTATTTTTCAACTTGTTTACTTTCCTCCCAGTCAGTGCACAACAATGCAATTCGCAGTGGGTATTGCAGAAAATAGCTCACGTTGAAGTTTATCAAAGAGTATAATCAATCCATAATAGTTTAATCAAAAGGAGGGATCAACAAAGACGGAGAAAAAAAATGCTGTTAAGTGACAGACGCCAAGGTCGAACCTTACTTCGGAGAGCTAAAACTAGCGCGCCGTGTATGCCCGCCGGTTGAGGGCATCAAGAACTGTGACGAGGGGCGCGAACGTGACTTTTGGAAGCTTGTGCAAACTTCATTGGATCTTTTGATGTCCGACCAAATATAGCCATGGTGTAACTTGGTACAGTAAATATGGTTAATATATAATCATTATAGTAATAGGGTCCGGTGTTCAAGTTAGCTTAAGGGGGTCTGAAGTAATATGCATGTGTATTACGGGAAATTTTGGGCGGCATTTTGCAGTCGATCAAAGGTCACACGCTGCGGAATTTCCTGCGGATCCGGGCCAGCCTCTTTGTGATGGATTTATTTTGAATAAAATTTAAATAAATAATTTTTCAAAATAATTTTTTAACTAACAGCTTCAGCGAAACAGTGAAATCCGTGTTGTTTGGTGGCATAATCTTGTCAAGTCCATCCTTCAAATATATGGTTTAATTGCACCTTTTGAAGGTCATGATTACGATTATGGGGGGGGGCCAAAAAATGCGCAAAATCTTCATTTTGCAACCATGGAGCTATGGTACAACAGGATGCATACCAACCAAAAATGCATCCTTAAATGGCCTTCGTGCAGGATTTCGGTGGGACATCTTCCTGACTCAATTTGTCCAGTTACAATTATAGGCCATGTACGTCACAACATTTCCTGGAATCATGACGTTTCCGACAACTTCTCTTCTTCGAAAATAATCACTATTATGATTGTTGAATGAATCTGTGAGGGACCCAGTCGAAAAAGGGAAATGTGACATCTCCCAAAGTTTCGTTGAAAAGCTGACTCAGACTTCGAATGGTATTCAGGCCCGAGGTCATTCGAACGCGCGTGCGAGATCTACCCTATCAGTGCGGCCCTACGTGGACCTGCGCGCGTACCATGTTCCCGAATGACCTTGTGTTTTGAAAATAACGAGCAGGCACATTATATTAGGCTGCATCCGAATCTCTTGTCTAGAGCTATTTCTAGGTATTCGCTCCCATGGAAATGCGTGGAGACTGGTAGACAATATAGCCGTAGCTCTGGAAGCCCGTTTTGGACACGGCCTTAGCTTCAGCCGTACTACTTTCGAACGTAATGCCATCTGGCAGATGGCTGAACGCGGGGGAACAAGGCATAGGGCCTAGGTGGAAAAGCATAGGGCCTAGTGGGAGACTGGGAGAAATTTAATTAACAAAAGTGCACCGGAAGCAGCAGGACCTTGGATGGAGAGTTTAAAGCCCATGACAATGTAGATATTAATGGGGGTCAACCTTCGGTTGATCCAAACGTACCGAGCTATTACGCAATCGCTAGTGGCGATGACGACGGGGTCTGATTCTTGCGCAAGTGATACGGTTTGGTTGTTTGGTCTGATCTCTGGCTCTGGCTTCAAGGTATCCGTTTTCTAAGGGAGGACGTTCCCAAGGACAGCTTCTTACAAGGGGCCGACCCCGGATGATGGATCATCGACGCGTTAAGCCCCGCTAAGACTGGACGGGCGACATTGTATGCGGAATCATTTGTGGTCAGGAGTTATGCAGAGATGTTATTGTAATGCGCTTCAACCTCTCTCCAAAATGTTCATTTCAAACAGTTGTCTTATTATTCTCCTTTGTGGGTAGGCCTATCTAATGTATCTTCAAAGAGGAAATGTGTTGAAGATTGATGCAACGTCCGTACAAATTTCTATCATGAATGAACTTTCTCGGCAGCCAGTATACGAAGGCAAAATTCTTTGAGGCAAAATGTCGCGAATTGTCAGATCACTTATTATCAGCAACGTTATGTGTTTGTGGCGGAGGGTTAACATGCTGGGGTATTCACTAAGTAAATCACTACTGCTGCAGCGAACGGTGCTATGATTATCTGTTTCGTTTTGTGACGTCTCACTGCATACCTGCTGCTGTATCCTCGGTCGAATTATGGTCAGCATATGGCCTCCGTTATTCAACCAACAACCAGGGCACCATTTTGCAACTTCCCTCATCCCTGTGGTGTTTATCCCACAATAATGGATCAAGGCATTGGGATTGAAGATTTCGGGGTCATCCATATACAATCAACGTTCGCGGGAGTCTTGTAACAAACGATTTCCAGGTACCCTCACCAATTAAAGTTCCCTGCAATACATCCTTCCAAAAAAAAGCAGTGGGCGTAGGTGTGCAACGGTGGAGGCTAATTTTTAGGGGGCTGTTGAGGGGGTCCTGTTTCTAGGATGAATTTCGCCCTCCTCCAAAAATTAATCGTCCAATATTGTGCCCATTTTCAGTGAAAGATTTGAACAGCATTTTTTTTCCTGATAATTCTTCACATTTTAGTAAACCGGTCCAAACTCTTCCCGAATCAAAGATTTACCAAACCAAAAAGTTGCTATTTCAACATCCCCAGAAAAAGCTCAATACTTTATTTTGCTCCTTGTGCCTACTTCTGCTAGTCCTCGTATCTCGTACCTTGAATACTAAAACGAAAGAAGAGCTGCCAGAAATGCGCTCTCCACAGAAATAAACAATGTAACTGTTTTAGTAATCCACAGAAAACAATGGACCAGTTCGGTGTTTCAAAAACCAAAGGCCTTTCGGCTTACGGCTAGGGCTGCGCCGATAGGACAGATTATCGCACGCACGCGTAGCTTTTTCCCGAATAGCCTCGGAGTGGGCGTGCGCTGTTTGAATACCGCATTGACTCATCAGGAAGTTATCACTTACGCACAAGAAGCGTTACTATCGACCATTCGTAAGTTTTGACATTGCGAGTTGTATACGCCTGTGAAGATTCCTGCACAGTACAGGAAGATGACGACGATGAGAGAAGAATTTACCAAATTTAAACAGATTCGACTAATTGCGAGAGTTTGCCGGTCACTGCTGCGCAACTGACAAGAGAAAATTAGTCTAGCGGTGTTGACAACATTGCGAAAGGCGATTTTCAGAACTAGTGCTCGGTAGTGGCTTGCTCAGCCTGAAGCTTTCAGGGAACCGATTTTTCCGTTTCCTTTATTTTCAGGACTCAGCATTTTCACCCTTGTGGCATGTTCGGTTTCGGGCTTGTCAGTGTTGTTCCCAACTTCCGTGCGTTTTCCAACATGTTTTTGTCTTAGGCCAACTCTGCTGAAAACATCCGATGAGTTCTGTGGGGGACTTGAAAAAAAAATCCATTGAAAAAAACAAACTTCCGAAACATTTCAGAGGAAAGAGCGACAAGTAAATAAATAACTGTGACTATTTCTTTCGATGATTTGTTTCCCAGACTATTTGTCCATCCCTGCAAGAACGGTTTTAATGCAGTATTTCTTTTTGGGGGGAGGGACACGCCCACAGACCTAATGCTCCAATTCATAATCACTTTTTCTTGTACAAAGATTCTGACGCATCCTTGACGCATCTTAACTTGAGAATTTCGCGGGCAGCTCGCCATCCGAAGTGTCAAAACCGAGGGGCAAAGTGTCAGTTTGCAGCTTCATATATAGACTCAGTACACAACGCACGTCCTCGCACGTGTCGTCACGCACATATGACTATCGCCGAAGACGCAATGCGGTATCCTTGGCACTGCGTTAATTTATTGGTTTTTTTGTAACGAATACCATGGTGTCTATTTTTGGCATATTCGATTCGAAATATTTGATTGAATAATCCCCACTTTCAGTGTCATTAGCGGGATATCACATGGCTGTTAATCTTCAGAATTTAGGAATCGCATCTTCACTCGTTATCGATGATTTTTTTCCCGGAAACTCAACTTTTCAGGTTCAAAACCTCGGCTTCCTTTTTTCTCGGGTAAATCTCCCGCATCACGCAAAAGGACAATGACAAATGATCAATAAAAACGAAGGGAGCGGAAAAGAGCAGCAGAACTCTTTTGTAAGATGGCTCTTCTTCACAAATTTAAGTTTTAAAAAAGGTAAACTTAATTGTCCAAAGCAATTAGTGTGAGCAAAATGAACGATTTTCTTGATTACCCTCTCCAAAACGAGGACGACAGAGTTCATCCTGATCGATTGTCAGAAGAAGAAGGATTGAGGGGGGTCCTTTACGTTTTACCTCATTACAAAATTGAAGTCTGAATTGATAGTCTGTTAACTTAATAATAGAGCGCATATTCGTTGTGAATCGATTTAATTGAATCAGTCATAACGAGGCATCATTTTTTGGGACGAGGGTCTAATTTGGTAACAGTTGCTTTCACTACGTCAGAATGGATTCCATGGAATAAAAGTTGTCACTGTCTGTGATGTTATTCTATGGCAGAGAGACCGTCAGAACTGAGTATGGTAGCAAAATTGCATCCACTGCATTTTCTTGAGAGTACACTACAATTCAACTTTAACCCAACCGCTTCGAAAGCCACTGACGCACTACGAGCCATTGGGAGAAAATGTCACAATAAAGCAATGGAACTTGAAACTTAACATTACCATCGGTCTGCATGACTGTGAACTACAAAGTAGCACATATAAAAGACCTCCACGCAAAGCTTGATTTTAGTGAAGAAAAGCTCACAAAAGGTTTGGATTGAAAGCTCATACATTTTTGGCAGCTGTTTTTAAGGAAAGGAAAAAGAACAGCTGCTGCGTGTGGAACCTCAATATTGAAAACTAAAGGATAGATTTTTTTTAATGAGACCAATTATTTAAACAAAAAAAAAACGCGCTTGGAAATTCAGAAGTAAAGAGCCAACTAAGACAAGCAAAATGATCACAGCAGGCAAAAGGCAAAGGAATGTGCAAGAAAAGGCGAAATTTAAGTGCTCACCCCGTCCCTTCTCCATTGACAGCCCGAAGATGACTCCGGCAATGATGCAGGTGGAGATTTGCAGCCAGGGGGTTCCCAATACCGCCCACGCACGGCCCCGCGATGCCGGAGCAGGAGCGTCGACACTGTTCTCGAGACTGGGGTTAGCATGGGGAGCCCCGGCGTGGGTGGCTGCGGGGGTCTCCAAGGAGCAGAACCGTGGTGGGCTGGCTCCGTTGGCAAGCTTGTGTCTTGCCTCGAAGACCGAGTTGGCGTTCTCGTCCGTCTCGGCAAACTTGCGGTTGTGCATCCCGTTGGCAAAAGGGATTGCCATAATGCAATTTGATTAAGAGGTTCAAATAACTGATGATGCACGAAAGAATTTAAGTTCAAAATGTGGCACCGGAGAATGATGAAGAATATTGCTGATGTTGTTGGTTCCTCCTCGGGTGATGCATTGCTGTGATGGGCGCAATCACAGCCGTTTTTATAGCATCCGCATACGGAACCATTACAACAGAGAATTTCCAGAGAAAAAGGCACAAAGCTTGGGTCGAAAAGGGGAAAAAATACCCCAACCTTGAACCGGAATTTTTTCCAGGCACCTCGTATGTATTTAAGGGAGTTTAATTAGACATGCAGAACCGGCACTTTTTTCACCTGGGGCGCCTGAGCCCGGGCATGCGCATTAGAGGTAGCCTGGGCACGTTCCATGACCACCAGAGTGGCAGGATTCAGCCCGTATTTAGTGGCCTTGCGCTCGTTTGAACTTACTTGCGTCCCGAAATGCATACCTTTTGTCAGAGCCCCCCTTTGTAACTTCACGTAACATGCTTTGCAAGAGCAAAGTCCCCCTTTGTTGAAGTGAGTCAGAAGATAGGATTTTCTGAACCCCCATCGTCAGCAGGGGACAAAACGGGCTTGGAGAAACTGAAACTGGGTGATTAAGTATCGTTTCCTGTGTGACGACTTAAATAAATACCCTTAAACCATCCTTATTTGTAAGCGCATCGGAAGTGCTGCATTTTTGGGCGTCTGACTTTGAAATGAGCGCTGCTAAGCGCTCCACAAGGGATGGACGTCCGTGCCTGGCGCCTAGCTTAGCCTTGCGCTGAGTACCAGCTAGCGCCCTCTATTGAATCAATTAAACAAAATTATGACGTCAAATGTTTTGGTTCTGCAATTTCCAAAATGGCTGCCTACGTCGTTTTGTTTCCTTGCCGAGCAAACATCGGGAGTCTTCCAGAAATTATCGTTGAGTGACTTTGAAACAATTTAACAAGTCCCAAACATGCCTTGGTACTTTCCGTGGCCGGATTACATTAAGAAGAAGGCTTGCAGGTATCTTCTGCAGCACTATGTGGGGAGTTTTCAGGAGGAAAAACTGACACTCGATCAGCTGAGTGTCGACTTATACAGCGGGACAGGCACAGTCAAAGATGTCAAACTTGATGTTTGGGTATGAAGTGTTCCATGTAATACCACTTTTAATCATTACCTGATTCATACTTTACTTTGGTAGCCTACTTGATATTTTAAAAAGAGTCCCATAGGGACGCCAGTAATTATTCCCTACACAAGGCTACAGCATGTACAAGGCCTACAATCAAATAACAATGTCAGTGATGCCATCTAGAAAGCAAGATCATGTTTAGATAACTGACAGGTTCAATTTAGGAGGAAAATACCATTTCATTTACTTAGAAAATACGTAGAATTTTCAGACCAGTCTCAAAAGGATTATGCATGGGACTCCAAGTGACGTCCGCATATGGGGCTCTTTATGGATGCCACTCATTTTTCCCTGCAGTGACTCATGATCCATCTGAAAGCAATGAAGTGTCTTAAAAAGTTAAATTCAGCTGTGAAAATGTTGAGGTATTCATTTAGAGAACACAGTTTGTCAGGGG